ATACTGTTGTTGGTGCGTAGGCGGTGGTCCATTAACAAAAGTGATTTTGCCATTGGCATGATAAAATGCTGTAGCCATGGGCCCATTTCCACCTCCTGAGGTGAGTTTTAAACCATTTGAGGGTAAAATATTTAATTCAGCACCACCTGGCAAACGACACAATTCATTTGTAGATGAGGCCGTTGAAGTCGAACCATTGGTAAGTGATTTATTTGCAATCGTAGAAGAACCAACCAAATTATTAATATTGTTGTTGCTGTTGTTGCCACCACCTCCTCCAATTCCACCTTGTAATATGCCACCATTGCTGGTTAATAGAAATTTCTGACCATGATTTTTCATTTCATGTTGCTGCTGCTGTTGATGATGGTGATGGCCATTTGTTGCAGTTGTTGTATTGAATACTTTTAAAAATTTTGCCGGTTGTTCACCATCTTCACTAGCATGCTGTTGTTGTTGCTGCTGATGATGTTGATGATTATTTTTTGTTGTTTCTACCAAACTATTGTTGTTGTTGTTCGTTAAAGTTAAACTTTTCTTACGGCCATTGTGTTGTTGTTGTTGATTTCCCAAAACTGCTGCAGAAATATACAAAAAAGTTGTTGATTCTTTTTGTGGTATTTTTTTCAAATTTATTCACAAGTTTTTTTTATACAAATTTTGTGAATTGAGTAAAATTTTGTTTTATTTTAAAGGCCATTTTGTTCACATTTATTTTTTTACAAATTTGATGATTTTGTGGTAAAAAGGTATTTGAATTTTTTGTGGTGGTTTTTGGTGGTGGTTGATGGTTTTTTGGTTTTTATAAAAAGAAAATTAAGAAATGGTGGAGGTGGCTTATGGTTTATATTTTTCAAATTTTTACAGCCTTTAAAGGTTGGTGCTTAGATTTTGTTTAATTTTTTTTTTTAATAGAGGAGCAAATTATAAAATTTTATAGGATTTTGAATTTATATTTTTCTGATAGAAACAGGACATGTTGGGGTTGGTTTTTTATATCTTTGCTAATTTAGTTTTGGATTTTGTAGGTGATATGATGATGTGTGTTATTTCGTTTTAATAATATAATTAGTAGTAATTTTATTTAGTTTTTTTTTTTTTATTTCATCCACATTTAATTTGAAAAGTGGCAATTTTAAATCTATAGCAAGTTCGTTGTTGAATCCTCTTGATTTCTTTTGTAAGTGATTTTATATTCAGATTTTCATAATTTGGCCAATATTGTTTTGTTTTGTTCAAATTGGTTTTTATACCAAATGGCAACCACGTAATGCTTGCAACATTATTGCTATTGGGTTTTGTTTGGAGAGGGTTTTGTGTGTGTTTTAGGAGAAATGTAAATAAACAGAAATAAAAAAAATAGAAAATGTTAAAGAAAAATGCCAATAGTATTAAACAAAAAAAGAAATAAACTTAATATAAAAAATGAGGTTTTTCTACTAATGATGCAAATTTTATACATGAAGAAGGAATTCATCCAGTTCTTTTTCCTGTACATAGTCCGGATTATAGTTTAGGCTATAGTCTAGTCTTTAGTCCAATTTATAGTCTAGTCTATAGTATAGTTTAGTCTATAGTATAGTTTATAGTCCAATATATACTCCAATCTAGTCTAGTCCAGTCTATAGTTTAGTCTTAGTCTATGGTCTAGTCTGTAATCTATTGTAAATGCTATATAATAGTCTATATTATATTCTAGTCTATAGACAAGTCCATAATCTAGTCTATAGTCTAGATTATAGTCTAGTCTATAGTGTAGTCTATAGTGTAGTCTATAGTGTAGTCTATAGTGTAGCCTATAGTCTAGTCTATAGTCTAGTCTATAGTCTAGTCCATAGTCTAGTCCATAGTCTAGTCTAGTCTAGTTTATAGTCTAGTCTATAGTCTAGTCTATAGTCTAGTCTATAGTCTAGTCTATAGTCATAGTCTAGTCTATAGTCTAGTCTATAGTCTAGTCTATAGTCTAGTCTATAGTCTAGTCTATAGTCTAGTCTATAGTCTAGTCTATAGTCTAGTCTATAGTCTAGTCTATAGTCTAGTCTATAGTCTAGTCTATAGTCTAGTCTATAGTCTAGTCTATAGTCTAGTCTATAGTCTAGTCTATAGTCTAGTCTATAGTCTAGTCTATAGTCTAGTCTATAGTCTAGTCTATAGTCTAGTCTATAGTCTAGTCTATAGTCTAGTCTATAGTCTAGTCTATAGTCTAGTCTATAGTCTAGTCTATAGTCTAGTCTATAGTCTAGTCTATAGTCTAGTCTATAGTCTAGTCTATAGTCTAGTCTATAGTCTAGTCTATAGTCTAGTCTATAGTCTAGTCTATAGTCTAGTCTATAGTCTAGTCTATAGTCTAGTCTATAGTCTAGTCTATAGTCTAGTCTATAGTCTAGTCTATAGTCTAGTCTATAGTCTAGTCTATAGTCTAGTCTATAGTCTAGTCTATAGTCTAGTCTATAGTCTAGTCTATAGTCTAGTCTATAGTCTAGTCTATAGTCTAGTCTATAGTCTAGTCTATAGTCTAGTTTATAGTCTAGTCTATAGTCTAGTCTATAGTCTAGTTTATAGTCTAGTCTATAGTCTAGTCTATAGTCTAGTCTATAGTCTAGTCTATAGTCTAGTCTATAGTCTAGTCTATAGTCTAGTCTATAGTCTAGTCTATAGTCTAGTCTATAGTCTAGTCTATAGTCTAGTCTATAGTCTAGTCTATAGTCTAGTCTATAGTCTAGTCTATAGTCTAGTCTATAGTCTAGTCTATAGTCTAGTCTATAGTCTAGTCTATAGTCTAGTCTATAGTCTAGTCTATAGTCTAGTCTATAGTCTAGTCTATAGTCTAGTCTATAGTCTAGTCTATAGTCTAGTCTATAGTCTAGTCTATAGTCTAGTCTATAGTCTAGTCTATAGTCTAGTCTATAGTCTAGTCTATAGTCTAGTCTATAGTAGTCTAGTCTAGTATAGTCTAGTCTATAGTCTAGTCTATAGTCTAGTCTATAGTCTAGTCTATAGTCTAGTCTATAGTCTAGTCTATAGTCTAGTCTATAGTCTAGTCTATAGTCTAGTCTATAGTCTAGTCTATAGTCTAGTCTATAGTCTAGTCTATAGTCTAGTCTATAGTCTAGTCTATAGTCTAGTCTATAGTCTAGTCTATAGTCTAGTCTATAGTCTAGTCTATAGTCTGTAGTCTAGTCTATAGTCTATAGTCTAGTCTATAGTCTTCTATAGTCTAGTCTATAGTCTAGTCTATAGTCTAATCTATAGTCTAGTCTATAGTCTAGTCTATAGTCTAGTCTATAGTCTAGTCTATAGTCTAGTCTATAGTAGTCTATAGTCTAGTCTATAGTCTAGTCTATAGTCTAGTCTATAGTCTAGTCTATAGTCTAGTCTATAGTCTAGTCTATAGTCTAGTCTATAGTCTAGTCTATAGTCTAGTCTATAGTCTAGTCTATAGTCTAGTCTATAGTCTAGTCTATAGCTAGTCTAGTCTTGTCTATAGTCTAGTCTATAGTCCAATCTATAATCTAGTGCAGTCTATAGTCTAGTCTATAGTCTATAATATAGTTTACAGTCTAGAGTAGTACAGTCTAGACTCTATAGTCTATTCTATAAGCCTATAGTCCAGTCCAAAAATTTTAAGCTCTAGTATAGCCTTTTTTCGAGACTATAGTTAAGTCTGATATCTGATCGTTAGATTTTCTTTTGCTTTGCAGAACTACTTGATAAAAATATTAAGTTCTTTTTTTTTTGTTTTTGTAAACTTACCATTATTTGTATTATTAACTCCTTGTGCGGGTGCTGAAGTAGCTAATATAGTTGCGGCAGCTGTGGCTGTAGAACCATTTCCAATTCCACCAGCAATAAGGCTGCCGACACCACCACCGCCGCCACCACCATTTTGACCAGCTCCGGCTACAGCAGCAGTTGCTTGCAATTTCAAACCATTAGGAATGTTAACGGTCACATTGCGACCATTACTAATCACCCCATTAATCGGAGGTGATGACGAGATCAATGACGATGACGAGGAGACACCACTCGAAGAGGACGGCGACGGTGAGGGTGTCGAGGGTGTGGGTGAGCCACGGGTTACAGCAGTAGCTGATATATTTTTGGCTGTCAATGATAATGGTAGACTGCTACCGAAGGTAACAAGAGCCGTAGGACTACCAGCTGGTGGACTGTTAATGCCACCTCCTCCGCCTCCACCCTGAGTAGGAATTGCTACAGCTTGTATGGTGGTGGTAATTGTGGGATTTTTACGCTGTTGTTGTTGTTGTTGGATGACAACATTACTGTTGCTATTAATTGATATTGGTGATGTAGAATTAATATTGTTGTTGTTGCTGTTGTGGTTGATTTTGTTTATCACAGGCGATATTGTTGTGGGCATTGCAGTTTGTAACTATTTATAACAATTACAATATTTATACAACATTACAAATTATCCATTAATTGTAGATTATTTTTTAAAGTTTTTGGTAAAATTGTTTTCGATTTTGATTTCAACATTTATATGTTTTTGAGTGAGTGTTGGTATGAATTTGGTTGTATGTATGTGTGTAATAATTTTGCAATTTAAAAAGTGAAATTGTCGTTTTAAAGCAATTTGTTTTTTTTGTTTAAAATGAGATCGTAGTTTGGTTTAGGCGTATAGAAGTGTATATTTAATTTTTGATTAATTAATTAAAAATAGAGTAGAAAATAAAAAAAGTAAAACAAATTAAGAGTTAAAAAAACTTAACAAAAAAATAATAAAATACATAAACAAAAATTCAAATAAAAAAACAAAAGAAATATCAATAATAATAAAATAGAAAAGATTTTCTTCTAGTTGGCAGTTAACTTTTTAATATGTGTTTGATTTTCATCTTCAACAATTGATTCCTAATAAATCTATATACACTTTCATTCCTAGTTGTATGTTCAGGAATAGTTACATGCTAACACTCAATTTCTTTCATCATCATAATTGTATTATGCATTTGATTTTTACTACTTACACCAGCACCAACTGGTGATGACATTGTATTGCTGCCACTGCCACCACTGCTGCTGCCATTACTGCCGCCACTAGATAGCGAACTAGATGAACTGTACAATGTACTGCCACGTCCAGATGAGAGTGAATGTGTATCATTTATTGTTTCTGAAAAAAAGGAATAAGAAATTTTAAAGAAATTAAATTAGATTTAATATTTTTAGGTTAGAATAATAGCTTCTAAAGTTTTTAAAGGAACATTTTTTGAGATACAAATATCCAGATACTATTCTCTAGTCTATTTACTAGTATATAGTCCATTCATTAGACTTGTCTATAGTCTAGCCTATAGTGTAATCTATAATCTAATATGTAATACATAGTTTAGTCTACAGTCTAGTCTGAAATCTAATATATAGTCTAGTATATAGTCTAGTATATAGTCTAGTCTATAGTCTAGTCTATAGTCTAGTCAATAGTCTATAGTCTAGTCAATAGTCTAAGTCTATAGTCTAGTCTATAGTCTAGTCAATAGTCTAAGTCTATAGTCTAGTCTATAGTCTAGTCTATAGTCTAGTCTATAGTCTAGTCTATAGTCTAGTCTATAGTCTAGTCTATAGTCTAGTCTATAGTCTAGTCTATAGTCTAGTCTATAGTCTAGTCTATAGTCTAGTCTATAGTCTAGTCTATAGTCTAGTCTATAGTTAGTCTATAGTCTAGTCTATAGTCTAGTCTATAGTCTAGTCTATAGTCTAGTCTATAGTCTAGTCTATAGTCTAGTCTATAGTCTAGTCTATGTCTAGGTCTATAGTCTAGTCTATAGGCTAGTCTATAGTCTAGTCTATAGTCTAGTCTATAGTCCTAGTCTATAGTCTAGTCTATAGTTCTAGTCTATAGTCTAGTCTATAGTCTAGTCTATAGTCTAGTCTATAGTCTAGTCTATAGTCTAGTCTAAGTCTAGTCTATAGTCTAGTCTATAGTATAGTCTATAGTCTAGTCTATAGTCTAGTCTATAGTCTAGTCTATAGTCTAGTCTATAGTCTAGTCTATAGTCTAGTCTATAGTCTAGTCTATAGTTAGTCTAAGTCTAGTCTATAGTCTAGTCTATAGTCTAGTCTATAGTCTAGTCTATAGTCTAGTCTATAGTCTAGTCTATAGTCTAGTCTATAGTCTAGTCTATAGTCTAGTCTATAGTCTAGTCTATAGTCTAGTCTATAGTCTAGTCTATAGTCTAGTCTATAGTCTAGTCTATAGTCTAGTCTATAGTCTAGTCTATAGTCTAGTCTATAGTCTAGTCTATAGTCTAGTCTATAGTCTAGTCTATAGTCTAGTCTATAGTCTAGTCTATAGTCTAGTCTATAGTCTAGTCTATAGTCTAGTCTATAGTCTAGTCTATAGTCTAGTCTATAGTCTAGTCTATAGTCTAGTCTATAGTCTAGTCTATAGTCTAGTCTATAGTCTAGTCTAGTCTAGTCTAGTCTATAGTCTAGTCTATAGTCTAGTCTATAGTCTAGTCTATAGTCTAGTCTATAGTCTAGTCTATAGTCTAGTCTATAGTCTAGTCTATAGTCTAGTCTATAGTCTAGTCTATAGTCTAGTCTATAGTCTAGTCTATAGTCTAGTCTATAGTCTAGTCTATAGTCTAGTCTATAGTCTAGTCTATAGTCTAGTCTATAGTAGACTATAGACTAGACTATAGACTAGACTAGACTATAGACTAGACTATAGACTAGACTATAGACTAGTCAATAGTCTAGTCTATAGTCTTGTCTATAGTGTAGTCTACAGTCTAATTTATAGTCTAGTCTATAATTAGTATATAGTCTAGTACATAGTCTAGTATATAGTCTAGTATATAGTCTAGTATATAGTATAGTCTATAGTCTAGTATATAGTATAGTCTATAGTCTAGTCTATAGTCTAGTCTATAGTCTAGTCTATAGTCTAGTCTATAGTCTAGTCTATAGTCTAGTCTATAGTCTAGTCTATAGTCTAGTCTATAGTCTAGTCTATAGTCTAGTCTATAGTCTAGTCTAGTCTAGTCTATAGTCTAGTCTATAGTCTAGTCTATAGTCTAGTCTATAGTCTAGTCTATAGTCTAGCCTATAGTCTAGTCTATAGTATAGTCTATAATCTAGTCTATAGTCTAGTCTATAGTCTAGTCTATAGTCTAGTCTATAGTCTAGTCTATAGTCTAGTCTATAGTCTAGTCTATAGTCTAGTCTATAGTCTAGTCTATAGTCTAGTCTATAGTCTAGTCTATAGTCTAGTCTATAGTCTAGTCTATAGTCTAGTCTATAGTCTAGTCTATAGTCTAGTCTATAGTCTAGTCTATAGTCTAGTCTATAGTACATAGTCTAGTATATAGTCTAGTATATAGTATAGTATATAGTCTAGCCAATAGTGTAGTCTATAGTCTAGACTATAGTCTAGTCTATAGTCTAGTATATAGTCTAGTCTATAGTCCAGTCTATAGTATAGTTTAGTCTATAGTCCAGTTTATAGTCTAGTCTATAGTCTAGTCTATAGTATAGTATATAGTCTAGTATATAGTCTAGTCTATAGTCTAGTCTATAGTCTAGTATATAAACTTCTATAGTCTTGTATATAGTCTTCTATAGTCTAGTCTAGCCTATAGTCTAGTCTATAGTCTAGTCTACAGTCTAGTCTGCAGTCTGTCTATAGTCTAGTCTACAGTCTAGTCTATAATTTAGTTTATAGTCCTAGTCCAAAGTCTAGTGTATAGTCTATTCTATAGTTCTAGTCTATATTTTAGTTTATAATCTTGTCTGACCTATATATGTAAATATTCAGTTCCCTGTCTGTTTTATAGCCTAATTAATCTCTGGTCTGGTCCACAATTTAGCATGTTGTCAATTTTATTCTCCATTTTCTGTTGTAACTTCCTCTGGATTTGTTTACCTTAACTTTCAATGATATTTTCAATCGCCAACGTTATGAAATTGTTTCTAAATTTTACGTCATTTTCAATCTAAGTAGATTTAGTTACCGTTACTTTTGTTCTTTAAATATATTTTTGGAATATTTTAGAACAAACTTTCTAATTGAATGTAAAGAATTATAATTAGTTTTCAGCATTTTATCTGTAAAGACTGATTTTGTTTGCATAAAATCCTCGCACATTTTTATTGAAAAAAAAAAAAAAACACAGTAGAGCAGTAATATTATTAACGTATCAAAATAAATCAAAATTATCATAAACACAAGGCAGTAGTATATCTATGAGCTATTGTGGGCATTTGATTTTTTGCTAAATAATTTATGGGTCATTTTAGCATTAATAAATAAATTGATGATTTGCATTGATGTGTCCTTTTTCACGCGATACCCTATACTTGCAAGGTAATCGTGCGTTTATACAATTGTCACTTTAGATGCTGTTAGTAATCTAGAGTTTAAAGCGTTAGTATTCAAATAAAGTTAATTAAATTTTAAAAATTAACCCATAAAGGGGATCCTTTAATTTATATTCACTTTATAGCAAACAATCAAATTCTTAATGAACTCCTCCAAAATTTGTTCTCAACTATTTTTGCTGTTTTTGTTTTCTTCTATGAATTTTATTATTGTCGTATGTTGTAGTAGTATTTTCTACAAAAATGCATCTTATTTAAAATATCAGCATGCTTTTTCTCTAATATTTCGAAACTTTATACAGAGATCTCGTTTTGAAATGCAAAACTTGAATACTCGTCGTACTAGAGAATAACTTTACAATTAAATGCAACACCGCAATACAAACTTAAAAAATATTATGCTAAAATATGGCGCAAAATAATATTCAATACTTGGTCTACTTTATAAAAATAAAGTCGTACGAAATTTGAATAAAATTCTAAAATTTATTCTCTAACACTTTGTCGTAGTTGGTGTTGTGTTTATACTCAATATATACTATAAGATATTTAATGAATTTCTGCTGCTGCTGCTGCTGTTGCAGCTGCTGCTGGAGACAAATCACACAAATACTAAGTACGAAACAGCAGTTTTTGTTTTGTTTCTTTTTTTTCGTATAAGGCTGTTGTTTCTGTAGTCGATTGTTTGCGTAAAAAGTGAAATTAAAAATTATAATTTTGAGTTTTGAAGGAAAAAGGAAAAACCCATATTAATAATACGAAAAAAGAGGAGGTTAAGGAAAACATACATTTAAGCAAGATATGAAAAACAGTTTAGTTGACCTTTTTTTACTTGAATTTTTCTTTCTCTTATAGAAGAACATTTTTGGGTACAACTAAGAGAACAATTTTAATAATACATAAGATTAACTGGGTCAGATCATAAGCATATATTTACTACTTACCTCTCTCATTTGGAATGCTACCAATTTCGATATCAGGAAAAATACCCAATCCCGAAAACATTTGTTCATACTTTGGACCAAGTTCACGCTTTAAGCTAACAATACGTTTTTGTAAATTGATTTTCTCATTTGCTAAATGTTCCCATTCAGCTTCCAGTTCTTGAGCACGTTTTTGGGAAGTCTGAAAGGAAAATTAATTTAGAGATTTTTTTTATAAAAAAAAAAACAAATAAACGAATTTTTTATTTGGACTAAGGGAAATAGACTCGACTCTAGACTAGACTCAATGTAATAGACTACAGACTATACTATAGACTATACTATAGACTAGACTATAGACTATACTATAGACTAGACTATAGACTAGACTATAGACTAGACTATAGACTAGATTATAGACTAGACTATAGACTAGACTATAGACTAGACTATAGACTAGATTATAGACTAGACTATAGACTAGATTATAGACTAGACTATAGACTAGACTATAGACTAGACTATAGACTAGACTATAGACTAGACCATAGACTAGACTATAGACTAGACTATAGACTAGACTATAGACTAGACTATAGACTAGACTATAGACTAGACTATAGACTAGACTATAGACTAGGCTATAGACTAGACTAGACTAGACTATAGACTAGGCTATAGACTAGACTATAGACTAGACTATAGACTAGACTATAGACTAGACTATAGACTAGATTATAGACTAGACTATAGACTAGACTATAGACTAGACTATAGACTAGACTATAGACTAGACCATAGACTAGACTATAGACTAGACTATAGACTAGACTATAGACTAGACTATAGACTAGACTATAGACTAGACTATAGACTAGACTATAGACTAGACTATAGACTAGACTATAGACTAGACTATAGACTAGACTATAGACTAGACTATAGACTAGACTATAGACTAGACTATAGACTAGACTATAGACTAGACTATAGACTAGACTATAGACTAGACTATAGACTAGACTATAGACTAGACTATAGACTAGACTATAGACTAGACTATAGACTAGACTATAGACTAGACTATAGACTAGACTATAGACTAGACTATAGACTAGACTATAGACTAGACTTTAGACTAGACTATAGACTAGACTATAGACTAGACTTTAGACTAGACTATAGACTAGACTATGGACTAGACTATAGACTAGACTATGGACTAGACTAGACTTTAGACTAGACTATAGACTAGACTATAGACTAGACTATAGACTAGACTATAGACTAGACTATAGACTAGACTATAGACTAGACTATAGACTAGACTATAGACTAGACTATAGACTAGACTATAGACTAGACTATAGACTAGACTATAGACTAGACCATATGCTAGACTATATGCTACACTATAGGATAGAGTATAGTTTAAATCTAGGACTTTTTTATGGACTACACTGTATTATAGATTATACTATACAACTACAGATAATTGGGAATATTACAAAATAACGTATAGAGGATCTTCTTTAACTTTTCCTTAATTCAAATCTTAATAAACTAAAAAATATCATTCTACTTACTTGGACACATTTTAAAGCTTCACCCAATATAGCTAAATTGGAGGTTTTTCTGCGATCTTCATCTTTCAATGATAATTGATTTTTTAATGCTTCATAGCATTCTTTTAAATGGGCACGACGATTCTTTTCTAATTTATTATGAACTTCACGGGTACCAGCCCTGAAAATACGATTAAGGAAAACAAAAATTAAAACTATAGTTACAACATTAATAGATCCTATCAAAACTTACCCATTACTTGTGGAACTAATGGTACGCCTTCTAGGCGTAGCATGTGTTACATGATTTGAACCGGCTCCTACCGCTGACTGCTGTCCAGCATTAAGCATATGCATATAATGACTGCCAGCCGATGAGGCTCCCAACGAGGACGACACATGACGGGGCGGTGAGTGTTGGCTGGAGGTCGAGTGTTGACTGGACGATGAATTTGTACCGAAACTAGGATGATGCTGTTGCGTTGGTGGTATTTCATCGACCATCATACTGTTGCTGTTGTTGCCATTGTGCAACTGATGATGCTGATTATTGGCTGAAAATTTATGGGAGGATAGTGAGAAACTTCGTATACGTGATTGTGTGGGTTCAACAAATTTTCTACTCGACATGGGTGGCGGTGTCAAGGGTATAAAAGTTTTTGGGCGATTGGTTAAAACTATACAACTATTGGCGGTTTGTTGTTGTGCTTGCTGAGACGTTGACGACGACGAGGATGTTGGAGTTAATTGATAGGGAAACCCGGTTATGAGAGGTATATTTTTATTATTAAAAGGTATATTAATGGCCTTGGACAGGGACACATGTGTTGTGGCCGGCTGCTGCGTTACTTGGCCTATAGTGGCTGTGGGAGCCGCTATGCGAATGCCATTGGTCAACAACATTTGTTTGCTGGCAGCAGCATTTCCTATAATTTCACCATTTCTACCTATCAAAGTAAATGTGGCCGTATTACCACCATCCGTCGCCGCAGTCTCAGCTGCTGTTTTAGGTTTCACCATTGTGACATCTTCTGGTTCTTCGTCATCTGTTGCCATTCGTATTGGTGGCGACAAAGATGAGCTTGATGAGGTTTTTAACAATTTGCTTGAGGTGGAATTGGTCAGTAACATGAATGAGGTGCTTTTAGTATCAGTGGTATTATTATCATTACTGTTGTTGTTGGTGTTGTTTGCATCATCTTTATTATGGAATTTTTTTGTTTTGAAATTTATATTTTAAACCAATTCGTTTTCGTTTTGTGTGATAGTTGTTGGTGAAAGATCAAGGATTTCAAATTAAAAAAAAAGAAGGGAAAAATAAAAATTTTAAAAAATAGAAAATAAAAAAATACAAGAATTTGGAAAAAGTTAAACAGAAAAATATGAAACACAGACATTTAGGCAAGATGGAAGAAATGAGATGGGAAAACAGAAATAGATGTTTTATAAGAACACAGAAGCGATTAAGCTGAGGAGCGTAACAGTTAAATGATAAATGTATAAGAATGGTTTTTAAAAAAATTTTATAAATTGTTAAAAAAAGGTAATAAATACATAAACTTAAAGCAAACGATAGTGCGAAATTGGTGGCAGAATGTTTCTGATAAATAAACTAAAACGTAATCTAGACTGAATAGAACTAGACTATGAAGTAGATTATATGGTGAACTATAGGCTAGGCTATGTACTAGACTACAGATTATGTTGTAGTTCAATCTTTAGATTACGCTATAGGCTCAATATATACTAGACTAGATCAGATTTTAGACTAGAGTACATATTAGATGATTAACTTGACTATAGACTATCCTATAGACTAGCCCATAGACTAGACTATAAACTAGCCCATAGACTAGACTATAAACTAGCCTATAGACTAGACTATAGATTAGACTATAGATTAGACTAGACTACAGACTAGACTATAGACTAGACTATAGACTAGACTATAGACTAGGCTATAGACTAGACTATAGACTAGACTATAGACTAGACTATAGACTAGACTATAGACTAGACTATAGACTAGACTATAGACTAGACTATAGACTAGACTATAGACTAGACTATAGACTAGACTATAGACTAGACTATAGACTAGACTATAGACTAGACTATAGACTAGACTATAGACTAGACTATAGACTAGACTATAGACTAGACTATAGACTAGACTATAGACTAGACTATAGACTAGACTATAGACTAGACTATAGACTAGACTATAGACTAGACTATAGACTAGACTATAGACTAGACTATAGACTAGACTATAGACTAGACTATAGACTAGACTATAGACTAGACTATAGACTAGACTATAGACTAGACTATAGACTAGACTATAGACTAGACTATAGACTAGACTATAGACTAGACTATACTATAGACTAGGACTATAGACTAGACTATAGACTAGACTATAGACTAGACTATAGACTAGACTATAGACTAGACTATAGACTAGACTATAGACTAGACTATAGAACTAGACTAGACTAGACTATAGACTAGACTATAGACTAGACTATAGACTAGACTTTATAGACTAGACTATAGACTAGACTATAGACTAGACTATAGACTAGACTAATAGACTAGACTATAAGACTAGACTATAGACTAGACTATAGACTAGACTATAGTAGACTAGACTATAGACTAGACTATAGACTAGACTATAGACTAGACTATAGACTAGACTATAGACTAGACTATAGACTAGACTATAGACTAGACTATAGACTAGACTATAGACTAGACTATAGACTAGACTATAGACTAGACTATAGACTAGACTATAGACTAGACTATAGACTAGACTATAGACTAGACTATAGACTAGACTATAGACTAGACTATAGACTAGACTATAGACTAGACTATAGACTAGACTATAGACTAGACTATAGACTAGACTATAGACTAGACTATAGACTAGACTATAGACTAGACTATAGACTAGACTATAGACTAGACTATAGACTAGACTATAGACTAGACTATAGACTAGACTATAGACTAGACTATAGACTAGACTATAGACTAGACTATAGACTAGACTATAGACTAGACTATAGACTAGAGTATAGACTAGACTATAGTCTATATACATTTTAACCAATTTCCGTTAGATTATCAACAAAATTGTATAATTTCCCTTCTAACATTCTAACGTATTTTTTATTGTTATTTTCTCTCAAACACTTTATAATTGTTGTTGCTATTTAGTTATAGTGTTATAAAATTTAAATTAAATTAAAAAAATTACACAAGTTTTATTTAATTATTTATTAAATAAAATACACAATTCTCTACGTTGTTTTATAATTTCTCTAGACATTTGTATAAAATTAAAAATTAATTATCAGAATTATTATTATAAAACATTTAATTTTCTTATGTATTTTTTTATTGACTAATTGTTCTATTACAACAAACAATAATTGATAATTGATTTATGAAACACCGGTATTTGATAGGCAACTAAGAAAATTTTTAACAAAATAGTTACACAATATATTTATTAAGTAAATTTTCCATAGTTTAGATAAAAAAGAAAATCAATAATTCAACTTTATAAACTGCAGACTTGAGAAATAATATATTAAGAATTGTTTTAAAAAGTAATTATAAGATATATATAAAAAAAAATTATTAACTGTGACAACTTTTTTAAAAACGTGATTTTGTGACAATTGTTGTATATTTTTGACAGATGCGTTTTACATCTGTTTTTATCATGTGATTAATATTTAAATAATCTAAAATTAAGAGAAATTGTTGTACTCCTTGTCGATAATAGAAAATGAACGGTTGTTTTTTTATACATTTTGAATAAAATTTAAACAAAACTAAGTTTATTTACTTTGATGTTAAAAAAAGAATATATTCATATGTATGAATACTTGAAGCACTAGTTCATAATTCATTGGGAAAACACGTGATTCCAAGCTTTTTCTTTTTCTCTTACGAGCACGTTTTTTTGTGTTTTGAATAAGTAAACTGCAATAAAACATTATTACGATAAATTGATATAAAACTTACTAAATATTAGTTTATTTAAAAAATGTAAATCTATCTATGTATCTATGTATTATCTATCTATCTATCTATCTATCTATCTATCTATCTATCTATCTATCTATCTATCTATCTATCTATCT